ACTACGCTCTGACAGTACAGCTGATTGCAGCCTGCCTGTTTTCCTGCCAGTTGTGCTTTAAGGACACTTATAACATGCTCTTGAGGCCCTTTTCTGTCCTTGGAGCTAGCAGCAACTGCATGAGAAGCAGATGCAACCGTCGTCCACTTTGGTTTGGGAGGTGTTCTGGTTGGCAGGTGTTGCCTGCCCTTTGCGGTCAACAGGTTGGACACCCTGCTAATTTGGACAAGTTGTAGCACCTGGGCCAGCAGCACACAACGCTTGTACAACTGGGATCTGGGCCTATAGACAAACATTGCCTAACTAAGCGGATCAGCTGTGATGGGACATATTCCACCGCAGCTGACCTGCTTTATCGGGCAAAACACGCTGCCCACTGTCCCATGTTGGACAGAGGTCTGATGTGGAACAATAGGTGATGTTTTTACTCTTAGAAATCCTCTTCTTCCTGACACAGATGCTAACCTCAGCTCTTGCAGTGGCGGCTGAGAATCAGGGGCTCGTGCCTGGGTTCGGAGGGTCTCAGCTTTGCTTTTACACTCCTCTCCTTGAGCATCAGCTGGGAGGAGCAATGACAAGAACATATACATAGCCCAGGTCTTCCCTGTCTACTTTTCCTGCCCAGCAGCACTGCCCTCAAGTACTCTGCGCTGCTCCCCACGGGCTGCCACCGAAACTGGGAGCAGTGCGGCCACATCCGTGTGGCACTTCAACCAGACCAATCAGCGCTAATCAGCAGACTAATTTTGCAGCACTGATTCAGTGACAAGTTGCCTGCTTTTGTACTAATTAAGCTGTCTGTATTGCTGGGCATGGGAAATTTATTGCACAGATAGCTGGCGTCCTGTATCCGAGGTCTTCAGATTGCTTTATGAATATTCACTGGACAGACCAAGAAAGTGGTATGTTGTCACCACCAGAGGAACTGCAACCGTCTGCTGGGGGCTGTGGTTTAGCTTGTTAACTTCTGCAACTCTCTTGCTGTGAAAGTACTGCTGCCCATACAGATACCTCCTGCTTGCTGCATTCATTTGCCATCTCTCATTTATACTGAGATTGCCAATTTTTAAGGGCAGAGATGGGTTTTCATTATGTTCAGCACCTGGCACATCGATCAGCCCCCCTAGGCATGACCTCACAGCTGCTAATACTTCCACCACCTTCCCCGAGTGAGGGCTAGTGACTTGTCCGATGTTATAAGGGTAGAGGGGTAATAGTGACCCAAGGACTCCAACTCCAAGCTAACAACCCTTCTCCCCAAGCTCTGCTGCTGTCTCAGCATACTTATGACCAGGACTTGTTTGGAAACCATGAGCCCTGGCAGAGTTCAAGGATTTGGGTTTTCTGTTGGTACAGAGCTGTCCTGCATTTCTTCATTTAAATTCCTACTATCACAGGACTGCTTCAACCTCTCACTGTGTGCTGGCTTACTATTATGAACAGTAAGATGTGTGGCGGTTTCAGTGGGCACCAGGATGAAGCCACCAGGCTTGAGATGCAAATCAGCATCCAGTGTCCCATTGCATTGACGTGCCTTGATGCACACTGAGCTGTCCAGAAGCTCATACAGCCATTTGCTCAGGGAGAGAAGGAAGAGCTCAGGACCAGACCTGGGACCTGCCACCTGGCTGTAAGCAGCGGAGCCATTACAGTGGATTAGCCTTCAGCTGGCAACTGTGGTAAGTATGAAGTCCAGTCTGGCTTTGGGAGGTGGGTGGGGTTTGCAACACCGGTGCAGATTTAGTTAAATCATTGGTTTTATCTGAAGTGGAACCTCTCTCTTTCTACCACGCCTGGATGCACTGGATGAGTTAACAGGGTATGTAATGCAGCCCTTTGCTAGACTGACTCGGAAACTGTTTGTGGCAGGCCAGTGCTCCCTCAGACAACCTTACCTACAGCACTGAGCAACAGCTGTTTTGTTCCAGAAGTGACTTTTATTCTGGATGTTAATCCCCGGTCCTTTGGGAATGTACTTTTGCAATTTAACACCCTCTGTGCTCCTTTTTGGGACAAGGCTGCTTTTACTGTGGTGCTGCTGCTATCTAGCCTTATCTTTCACTTCATCCCAGTATTGATCCTGCTTTCTCTGTGCTAGAGGCTCGTTTCACTATATAGAAAAACTCAGGCTGGATTACAATTTCTTCCAGCTGAATGCAATCAAAACAAAAGGCCCTGACTGGGTAGCTCTTGCCAAAGGTGTTCGCTATTACGCGGAATCCTGATAGCCATAAAATTAGCATCAGATCTGGATGCAGTTTACTTAGCTTGACCTTTCTCTGCAAGATGATGTTTGCAGCATTATCAGGGACTCTTTATAGCACTCGTACAAGCATTGCCAAGGTGATGTCCTGTTTAATACGTCAATTGATGAAGCCTGAATTCATGTTATTGTGATGCTGTGTTTGCTGTCCCGCCTGCCTATCCTTTGGCAGGGCTTCAGCTTGGGCAGACTGCAGCTGCTCCGTTATTGACCAAAACACACTAGACACTGTTATAGATAGTGCAAGGATGTTAGCATCTATGAAGCTCAAACAAGGGTCAGGACCCGGCTGTGTGAGGTGCTGTACAGAAGTGTAACAGGGGACACATAGAGAACTCCTGGTCTATATCAGAAAGGACACAACAGGTGGATAAATTGGATAAGTCCTAGACTCTTAGGCCTGAAACTCAGACTTGCTAGCTGTCTTTCATGCTGTGAATACAGCTAGCTGCAAAGAGCCTGTGTTTTACAGGTCTACCCTACATTACCGGTAAGACAAACGTTTAACTATGATGGCTGAGGCAGGGATGATCCTGCCTTGAGAAGACGCTGGACTAGATGACCTCCTGAGGGCCCTTCCAGCCCAATTGTTCTATTGTTACAGCCCTTGGGGATCTGAGGGGTGTGTGTGGGTAGAGAGGATGAGGTAACAATAAAACAGACGTAATCCCATCTCGCCACTTATTTACTCACACCATAGGGGAGTGATCTCAGTCATCATGCTAGGAATTGTTCTCAGGGGTGATTTCAAAGAAAATAAGGTGGGTATTTCTCCCTTCTGATGGAGATTTTGGGAGGGATACATTATACCATCTCTAATCTATAGGCTTTGGCAGTAGATTAAAGGAATATAGATTAAAGCAGGTTCACTGCAGGAACCTTGCAGATGCTTTCCTTTTGCTGGTTTTACAGACCTGATTCTGGTGCTGGAGCAGAAATGTGTAATGATGACTATAGCTGTTGCCCTCTCAATGCACTAGGCTGCTGAATCAAATTCCATGGGTTAGGGTTAGAGCTGTACTCAAAGTGCTTGTAATGTAGGCAATCTCATCAATAAAAATGGAATTGGGAATGGATTACATACAGACTCTCCCTTCTGCCACGGCATCCCCACCCTCTGGGGTCTTTCAGCCTGCATTCACGTTGCCCTTTCAGCTGCCTCCATCTGTGGGAATTGGAATGGCTTTGTGGGATTGCTTGGCACCATGCAATACTGTTTAAAAGAAATATTTCTGTCCAGCCTGCAAATACACTCTGAGGAAGCCAGAGAAGCCCACCACTGTCTTACCTCATGCTGATACTGCCAGGATAAGCCAGGACACAATAGTATGGAGTGCATTTGAGAATGGTTGATGCTCATGAAACAGGCCATGCTGTCTCTCCTGTTACACTGAACACCACTGGCTTTTACTTCTTTCCTCCTGCCAGCCTCTCAGCTGTGCCTAATCACACCCATGCTGAGGGGTGGGTGGGTAGCTGAACTCTTCCACCCAAACACTATTTGCCTATGGCTGACCCCTGAGTGCCAACGGTAGCCACGGATGCTGTGATGTGGACACAGCATCCCTACCTCCATCCAGCTTGTCTCTTCTATTTGCACATCCCACCCATTGCCCTCGGATCTTCCCATGGAGGAGAGGACATGTTCCTGCCGATTATGAAAGCCTTTGACAGGACTTGGCTGATGGCAACAGTATTTTTTTTATTTCTTAAAAGGCTCTGAAGCTTGCAAGATAGGAAGTATTACCAGTATTGTGTAAGTGGTGCCGTCTCCTGTTTGTCCTCCTGAAGGATCAGTCTGGGAACTCTCCTGTCACTTTTAGCCTGCTAAACCTCATTGATGTCATCAAGACTGGGTTCTCCGTTAACTCTATGCTGTATTATGCCGATCCCCATGGTACCACAGTGCCCTCAATGGTAGGGCAACCATATTAGCTGAGACAGTCCCATTTTAGTTAGTTAGTTATTACTATTAGTCTCGTTTTAGCTGGGACAGTCCCAGATTTCAGAGGCTGTTCCCAGCCAGCTGTTGGGAATTATAATGGGCATCCCAGAAACGCAGGGCACAGTCTGGGGTGCAGGGCACAGTCTGGCTGCCACGCAGCCCTGCCCCCACAAACCTGGGTGAGCACGCGCGCGCGCGCGCGCGCGCGCACACACACACACACACACACACACACACACACACACACACACACACACACACACACACACACACACAGTTGTGGTGCAGAAATACCCCAAGTGATTTCTTGAAGGTCGTGCAGGTAGCTGGCAGCAGAGCCAGAAGCAGCACTCTGCACTCATACACTCCACCCCAAAGGCCCATGCACCTGGTCCCATTTCTCTGCTGCTGAAGAAATGAAAGCTGGCACAAGCTCTGTGAGGCTGGGGTGGTGGGGTGCAGTTAGGAAGCAGTGGTGAGATCATTTTAGGGAGAAAGCCAGATGTCGTGGTCTGGAGGGCAGAGATAGGCAGGGAGGCTGGAGAGGTTGAGGAATGCCTGAGTGGGGCAGTGGCCCAGAGAGAGCTTCACATTTAGTGATCAAAGGACCAATCCCAACTCCTGTGCCTGACTTCAAAAAGAGCAAAGTCAGGCTGAAAATCCCCTAACTCTTTGTCTGATGTAGCAGAGCAACTGGCTCTAAAATGAAAGAATAGGGGTTAACACCACTTTCTTAGGGCACAGTCTGACGCATGGGAATAGGTAACTTATTCCAAACACAAATCCTGGTACCTGTGTTCTCCTCTGACTGGTTGAAGCCACAGATCTGGCAGATGCTACGAACCCACTTGTTCATGTCCTCCTCTGTCTCAGCAACCAGGTAGAAGGTCCGGTCGCTGGTCTTGATGTCAAAGACGTAGCTGTCCTGCAGCTCCTTCTTGTTGAAGGTCAGCCCTGCGTCCACTTGCTCGCAGAAATTGAGGTTGATCACGCGCAGGGGCTTTTTAGAGTGGTCGTTCTTGTAGTATTCCAGGACATCCGGGTCTCCGCTCATCCGACCGCTCCGCAGAATGAACCAGCGTTTCTTCCACGCCTGAAAACCGAAAAGAAACAGCATTAGCAACACCTGAGAGGAGCAGGATCCCAGGAGCTAGGGGTGGATCTAGAAGTTTGAAAAGAGGGTGCAGATGGTGAGGTGTATGATCACATATAAAACCACACATTTTTCTCCAGTGAAAAATAAACTAGAAGATTTACTAATATGTCAGGGGCCAAGGGCTGTAATATTGCATTTAAGATTGAAGAAAAACAAATACAACTTTATCAGAATGAGTTAAAAGCAATCTGCCGGACTGTGAAATTGGAGCTTTGTTACCAGGAGCAGCTAACAAACAGCAGAATGGCAGAACAAAGGATACAGGCAGGCAACGTTATTTGGGGAGATGGGATATCTGATATCAAAGGATAGCTTGACTGGTGGGCATTCAGTAAAGGGAGTCAGTGGAATGGAAGAAGTGGGGCTGGAGTCTCTGGCTGCACAGAGCAGAGCAGGGCTTGTTTGGTGGTGTCATCACTAAAAGCCTGGTTCCCCCTTCCCTGGCCCTGCTGCCACTGCCAAATTCAGGGCTTTGGGTCCTCGCTTACCATATAAAATGGCTGTGGTTGCAGGACCGGGGAAGGTTTACCTCGCTCTTGGCAGTTACACCTCCTATCACAGCAGTGTTTGCCCCCACTCAGCTCCGTGTGGCTGGAGGTTCAAGCCCCTCTACCTCCATTCCAGTGCCCTAGGTTGTGCCCTCTATCAGGTATGCTTCTGGGGGGCGGGAATCGGAGCAACGCTCGGGGAGAGGGTGGAGCATAACTTGTGCCATTCCTGCCACTCCTGTCTGATGGGATGGTTGAGGGCTGATCCTCAAAAGGGCCCAGTGATCCTGCTGAGATGGTTGGAGGAAAAGGCCCAAGAATAGAAACAGTGTCAGGACCGAGCTCCTATTCCAGCGCTCAGCTCAGCATCTCATGACCTGCAAGTTCCGCGCTCCCCGGTGCCAAGTCATTTGTGGGAAGACATTAGCATCAGTAATCACCACAAAACACATTCCAGTAATGCAGAAAAGTCCCAGACCCTTTGGATACAAGGTCCCAGAGAAACAGTCTTGCAGAAACACCCTGGGGGAGTCATTGCAATGAAGTTTGACAGTAACCCGAGCATGACTACAAGAGCTCCCTGTCCCCCGGATCTTTAAATGCCAGTATTCAAGAGGCAAATAAGAACAATGAGAAGCAGCTATTTTTTTAATATCAGGAATAATGCCAAGAAGATCCGTGGAGAATCCAGACTTCATTTATTTGCAAAATCTTCTGTTCCTTCTGTAGGAAGGAAATTCGTTAGTAAAGACAGCGCTATTGATTCTTAAAAGCATTGCTTGCCTTTAGCTACCGGGCTGTACTTTGCTCCCAGCAGCATCCCCGTCAAGGCCACCCCTGGGGAAAGCCTCATGGGTTTACGTTGCTCTAGACAAACTGGAAAATAAATGTCACCTGCCAGCCCCTGGGAGCTTGCACAAATGAAACGTTTTGCTGCTCGGCAGACTCTCCTCCCTCCTGCAAGCACCGGCATTGTATGTAGGAAAGGGCTGGCAGAGAGCAGCATGCTTGAAGGGCTGTTTTGCAGCTCCTGCATCTTTTGCCAAGAAGCATATGTGTTCGCAGAATACACATTGGCCTGGCTGCAGGGATCTGAGCGCAGAAATGAAGCTGTGACCTGGGCTGGAATTTGAAAAACACCAAACAAATCTGGACGGCAGAGGCTGTCAAGTTTGCTCTGGTGGAAGCCTGCTTGGAGGAGAACAGCATGCAGCCGCCTGCTTTGGCGGGGGGGGGGGTAGGGGGCTGCTTAATGATAACACAAAGCACTTTTAATGAGGGCTTCTTTGAGGCTTTAAACCACAGGACATCTGGGGTGGAGGGTGGCACAGAGGCTCACTGCCCTTGTAAGAGCTTGATTTAATTACAACCTAATTTTGTAGGTCTGTGGGTTTGGGATAAGGCTTCCCCATGTGCTGGCTGTATGTCTCAGCTAAAAAAAGCCCATGAAAAGCAATGTAGGCCAGTGGGCTGAGCTCAGGACATAGAAGCACAAACGCTAATCCCAGGTCTGAGGGATCCCTGCTGTTTTTTTGAGCAAGCCTCCATGCCTCAGTTTCCCCCTGCATGAGATGGGAATTATAATCCGGCATTATCCTACAGAGTCCTACGGAGATATCTGCAGGTCACTCTGAACACAAAAAGTTACTACCTAGTTGTGACCGATGCATGCTAGTCTGATGTCCCATGGACTGCATGCCAGAGGTTTCCCCCGGTGTTGTTGGAGGGCTGCTCAGCCCTATCTGCACATCTTCCCAGGTCATAGCTCTGTTGTAAAGGGATGCCACACAGCTGATGCAGGTCCGAGTGCCCCAAAGGCTGCTCTAACCTCTGCCAGGGCTGATGTGGGCTGTCTCGGAGAATGAAGGATTTTTTTTTTGTTTTTTTTTTAAAGAAAATGTTCATGTTCCAAGCCAAATTGGCCAAATCAAGTCCAAATCCATGAGTCAGTCCAGAACTGTAAGCAGCCCTATAACCGGCAAACATCCTCCAACCCCACCAGGGGCTTCAGATATTTCCAATGTCTTTTGGCAGGCGTCCTAGATGCTGGCGCAAGCCTGGAGGCTTGGGGTTCGAATGCCCCCCAAGTTTTGCCTACCCCCAGCTGTCTGGCTGCAGAAACAAGCTAGGGAGGAGCCTCCCATTTCCATAAAGTGGGCTTTAAGCCTGAACACCTCAGCGGATACTAAACCATGCCAAAAGAACAATTATCCCCCAGGGCCTTAAGGAAAACTGCCTTCATGGACCCAGATCCATGGTGTTTACTGACAGTCATGCCTTCCTGACCTTGCACTGCCTGGATCTTGGTGCCAGAAAGAATCTGGGCCTAGCTCGGACTTTCCCTGAAGTTCAGGGCCATTTGGATGCTGGCTTTCATGCTGGCCTTATGGCTTTCTTGCAAGCTTCAGAGACTTACCCAGATGCTGACTTTTATGAAGACTCTTCCCTAACATATATTTATTAAGCTTTTCTGATCATGCTCTTCCCTGGCTGTACGCATATGCAACACCTATGAGTGTTCATGAGAGTTACTGCCTATAAACCTATATGGAAACACTAGGTAAGATGCTCCCTTGATTTTGCTGGAGCCCCATTGGTTTGTGCTACTTGAAAATCTGGCCTCTTACCTTCAGACAATTGCATTGAAATCATTTACGATGCCCGTGCATGAAGAAGAACAAATGTGTTTGTGCTAGATAAACTTGGTGTCAGACTTGCACTGCACTGAAACAGCAGCATGCACTGATAAATGGGTTACTGGAGATAGCTTGCTGGTCATTTGCCAAGCTAAGTAGAGCTGTTTTCATTTTATGCCTGAGGTTCACATGTCCTTTTTGTTGAATAAAATGTCAGTTTTATCTATTAAAAACTCCAGGGAATGAACACAAAGTCACCAAAAACAGTCAGTTTAATAGGCTAAAGGAAAAAATACGAGTCCATGAATAACAAAGTCCATGGCCATGTACGTGCTGCATAGTAATAGCCTGCCTTGCGATTTTTGAAATTTTCTTTTTAAAGCCCCAGCTTTTGGAGCCAAGTCATGATAGGAGAATTTAATTTTTCATTAAAAAAATAAACTCCCCTCATTTCTAGCTCTCCTGGTTGTGGAGAAAAGTTGGAGAATGTAAGCAGGAAAAGCTGTCTCAGAAGCCATTGGGCAAGCAGAAAGAACCCCAGATTTATTATTTAAAAACAGTCTCATGATTTCTCATGGCATGGCATGGGCCATATGGAAGACAAAAGACCACCTGCAAAAATTGATCTTCACGATGAAGGGTATAAGCCACTGCCTGCGGTAAGGGACCATTTGCCATGAATAAAGATGGCAGAATCCAGGTTTAAGATCAATTTGCTGCCATGATACTCATATTCTGTCCAACAGAAAGGTGGTGGCTTGGCATCTGCCCCAAAACTGCAGTGACTTCCATAATATGAAGGAGCTTGCAGCAACCTTGATTGTTACTAGAGGGGTGGAAATTACATCTTCCTGCATATATTGCTCCTAAGCAAAACGACTTATCGAGAAGCATTTCTTTCTGGGACTTGTTGAACTCTGGGCTACACAGCCACAATCACAATACGGGTGACACCAGTGTCATGGCGTAATAAAACACAACGAAGTTCTCTGTTGTTTGGTCACTACCCAGCCCTCATTTTAATTAGAGGGCAGGCAGGCGCTATTTTGTACGTACACTGTCTGGCTTAGAAAGTTACCAGAATCTAATCACGCTCCTATCCAAATATTGCCGGTGCTGAACTGCTACGACATCATGAGAAAATAGGAGAGGTATGTCGAAAGCCAATCTGGAACTGTATTTGCTTTGGCAGCTGTTGTGTTATCCCAGCAAACGGAAACCATGTCCACAAACCTACACGTGAACGTGTGTGTATCATAACAAGAACATCGTACTTCACACTGGAATTACTTCAGCTTTCATTTATCAGCGCTCTGCTGATATCCCAGCTGGGCTCCGGAGCACACAGGAAAGTTTTGTTCACGTTACTTATATTGGAAGCAATTCAAGGCAGGAACCTTGACTTGTGTTTGCTAGTATGGCATTGTGCACAACAACGGCGCTTGAGAACGAACAAATGACAATAAAGACAAAACATGACTCCAGGCCCTGGAGAGGATCTCTGTCGGAGGAGACACACCTCTGAGCCAGTCTATGCCAGGCAATGGCTTAAAGCATCTCGGCATCAGCTGGTAGAGAATTTCGATTTTCTAGCTCAGAAGGACAAGAGTCCTGTTATTTGAACTAAAGAGTTCAGTTGTCAACAGTGCAAGGCTCGGATCCACTGAACCCATCCTACACACACACACGCTCACACTCCTTATTAGGGTCCACTTCATCCTGGTCTCTATTGTAGGGCATCCTGGAAGGCTTGTTACGTTATTTAGACCAGGTCTTTGAGAATTTGGTGACCTAAATGTAAAACCTGTGCAGTCATTTCTCCAAACAATCTGATTTTCACTTCTCTTCTTGAAGGCTTATAAATAGTCTTTGTTTGTGTCTCCAGGATTTGTAACCTAATTAGTTTTGCGCTAATTCTCAAACTGGCCGCCAGCACCAGGAAATCAAGTGCAGTGTAATCTTCCAAAAGCAGTGGAGCAGCAAATCTTTTAGCAATACAACTCAGAGGATGGTCATTCAGAATTCAATTCAATTTAGGAAACAATCACAATCTTCTCTTTCAAATGGCTGCTCTTAGAGGAACTACCTATATGGAGCGTGCATGTGTATGTTTAGCTACACCCACTGCAAAAAAAAAGAAAGAAAAAAGACAATCACCATAGCTTTATAACCTGTGATTTTATAGTGGATCAGACAAAGTACTGAGAAATGTCCTTGCAAACATTTTAGTCTAGCTTCATGTACAGAATGTACCTTTTGCCTCCTTCCCATAAAACGGAGCCCTGAACAGCTCTAGCTCCCAAACTGTTTTCCAAGGCTGAATTATTAACCCCACATTGTTCACAATCCCCCCACCCCCAAAAGTAGAGACCTGCAGCAAGGCTGCGTATAGACCATTGGTCTTCTCAGGCTGGGGCGTGCTCCATGCACTAGAGGATATTGTGCCTTCATACCCTCACACTTTCAAAAACCATAAATCAGGGGCCCCAGAAACATGAAATAGCCTTAAAAATCATAAGCTTGAAAAGAGCCAGGGAAATGTTGGGTTCTTGTCATTTGCCTTTTGACTTCTGAGCCTTTGTGGATATCGTTTCAAGCCTCTTCTGCAAACACAAAGGGTATTAATGTACCTTTAGAAAGAAAAGGTGAGGCTAACATACCTTTAGAAAGAAAAGCTGAGGTTCTCATATAATCACGTGACTCCTGGAGCTAGGGCTTGAAGAAAAACACCAAGGTATAGGGCATGAGAACTGGCAACACTCTTCCTTCCTTCAAAGGCTGACCTTTGCATCTTTCACAGACACAACCCCCTCTCCAGGTCTCCCTATTCTGTGTGTTATCAATGGAAATCCCTATCCGAGGCCTCTTCTGGTTAATATGTGGCACGGCTGACAGTTGTGTGAGCAATACAGGTGGCCGGTAAGTGGGAGACACCAGCAGCAAAAAATGAACAGCACTACACGTGTGACCTGCCTCTGTATGTGAGCCTCTTTTATTCTCTTTACAACCCTGATGCTTATTAATATTTTACAAAAGCACTGAATGAGTGATTAACAGTTCCCGTCTCACTTAATCTCACTGGGCATTCATGCCGGGCTTATCACCATAGCTACTACATCATACTCCTCCGATTGAAATTCTTCTAAATTACATTGTGTCCCCACCAGCCAGAGAGCGATTTATCAGATTTTACTGTTCTAGAGGGAACGAACGTGTCCTGTAATTGTCCTTGGAAGGGAAAATGATGGCTGTACTGACGTAGCATAAAAACAAAGGCTCTGAGGCTGTGGGGCCCCATGTACAGCCCCCTGAAGCTAATGGACAACCAAGGACCTTAATGGGCTCTGGACCAGGCTCAGAGCTGCCTAATGGAAATTAGATTCTTTGCTGCAACCTCATGTAATTGCCGCTGAACTTGGGACGAGGCTTTCCACTCCTCTCCACGCAGCTGACTCAAGCCCTGAAACAGTGAGTTTAGCCTGTTGTGTTTCCCACGTACAACGTGTCCATTTTGGGGTCAGCGGCAGGCAGACCTGATGCAGGTTTTCTCTCTTCTTTTTCAGGTGGGGAATCTCAATTTTTTCCCCTGATTGTTTGAGGAAAGATGCTGCTTTGGTTTTTGGACACCATATTCAATGCAAGGTCTGTTTCAGCTCCCCCGCCCCCTGGCGCGGATCGGGAAGTCATTACCTTCTCGGGTTTCTGCTGGCCATGGTATCTGTTTGCACGCTTTGATTGCTGATACCCTGTGTGGGATGAGCCAGTGCTTTAAGTATCTCTCTCCAGTAAAGTGCACTGCAAGGAAGCGCAGTGATATATCGCAATGTAACACACTGCCTAGGGTGCAGCATCATGGGCACTGTTTATCTGTAAGTCATGCTGTTTGCTTTTTGGGATATTAGGACTGCCCAGATATAGGTCTTTTAGCTTCCCTACTGTACCTAACTATTGTCCCTGAGAAGGTGTTAAAGTGACTGTCCAAGATCACAACCAGAGTCAGGAACAGAACATGCCTGACATGTCCACACAGCCAAATGATGGAGTGGTTACGGCACATGCCAGCACACCCCTGCCAGCACAGGGAACAAGATCAGCGAACATCCCACGGCCCTTGTCTTACCAGCATATGCACTCTCCAGGGACTATGGGTACCTACTGTTGCAGCTTCACTTTGCTGCAAAACCTGTTTCCCCTTGTTTCTGCAGAGATAATGGAGCCTCTCCCATCACTGCAGTATGGCTCTAGCCAAGGTTAGTATTTGTTTAACTGCTTTATGATGGGAAGCGGCCAGCAGTTTCAGAGCCTATAAAACGGTGCTTGTGCAGCATAACTTTCCAGCTGTGTGGTCTTGGGGGTCACATCAGGTTGTTCTGCCATCAAAGGATGGCTGCTCAGTGACCCGAAGATCACTGAAACATATTTGGATGATTCACAGTTACTTCTTTTGAAGGCCATTGTGAAAAAAAAAAAAGGAATGTAAATTCTTCCCAGTCTCTGATCATCTGGACTATTAATTATTACAGAATTAACATATCTGTGCCTATTATAAGAGGACTCTCCTGTGCCTCATCAGAGTTGAAGGGCTTGTAAATGCTTAGAAAAAAATGACCCATTTCCAGGTGGAAATTGGAGCCTGATGGGCTTGATAATATCGCAGTCAGTGGAAACCAGGGTTGCTCTGTTCTCTCGATTGGGATGACAGAACTTGGTTCAGGAGTGCGTTCCTCTATTTGGCCGGGGAGAGACTGAATGGCTATGTGCACATTTGAACCCCTTGGCACATGCTTATTGCATGGCATAGTGGGATCTGATCCCCAATCCCAACAGATGTGGCATGACAGGAGGTGCAATTTTTGGATTGAGGTTCAGATCCCAATCACATCCATTCTACTTATCAATGAAGGGGGAGCTTGGGATCATGATCTCAGGCTCCCCCTGCTCCAGCAAACTGAACGATGAGTGCCCAGCAGGTGCCAACAAGCAGCTGGATGTTGAACCTGGCACCACACCAGGGTCTCAAACTGGTCCCTGTGTGGTCTGGGGCTGACAGCTGATTGTCAGCCCTGCCCAGGTAGCCCCGGGTCCCATTCAGCATGCCTACCCAGGCAGGCAATCAGCTGGCTGCTGGCCCCAGTGGGGACAGCCCCAGGTTTGAGACCCAGGTCTGTCTGGGCCAGGGTTGACAATCAGCTGATTGTAAAAACCCCATGCCTAGCAGCTCTGGCCAGGCTCCCTGCTCCAGAAACCAAAGGGTTTAAACCTGTGGGTTTAAAATCCCTAATGAGGAAGCCCTTTGGCCCAACAATCTGCAGTTTGTTAGTCCCGTGCGTGCCCCGCCCCTCCCCTCAGTCCCAGGGACGAACAACCAGCTCATCGTCGGCCCTGGCCACAGGTTACATTTAAGGCACAAAAAAAAAATCATCCATAAAAATAGTCTATAATATTTGTGGACCACTTTTATGGCTCCTTTCCCACTTTATGGTGCCTTAAATTGGGTGCACGTGTACACCCAACATGCAACATATTCAATTGCAGCATAAATGTAAAGTGTAGAGGGGGCTGGTGAGAATAAGCAAGGTTCTGGGCTCCTTGTAAACAGACTCTTGCCTGGATGCCCACCTGTACTTCTGCCAGTGACCCTCCTTGATGTGCTCTTTATGAGACCTCTACCTGACCTGACAATAAGGTCAATGCTGCAATGGGGAAGGAGGGCTGCCATTTGGGAGATGGCTTTTATCCATCCACCCCTTCACTAACACCAACTCCTGAGCCTGGACCAGCTGCCAGTACTCTTCTAAGGGTAAAGATGGGGTCACCTTCACAAACTAGAAGGTGATCAGATAAATTCAGAAAAGCCAGCCTGGCCATTTCTGTGAGAGCATGAGGATAGGGACAGTGACAGCAATTTGCCACAGACTGAAAATGGGTACGTGGGCATTTACCACTTAGCAGCTGACCCACAATAAGTCTCTGCCCTTTTTTAACTTGCTGTGAATTGTTTTTCTGTCCACAACCTAGGAACCACCCCTGGAAAACAACTGTGTGTGTGCGCATGTGTGTGCTCTACAGGGAGGTGGGAGATTACAATAGGAGGTATAATTATGCCATACAGACCAATCTGGAGCTAGCAAGGAAATAAGCCAGATGACTACAGCAGTCATTTCCTATCTCTAGATGCTATAGGCCTAATTCTGATTTTCCTGATGCCCATGTAAAATCAAGACCCTCATCACTGAAGGCAGCAGATTGACACTAAGAAAGAAAGTCAGGCCGTACAGTTCAGCGTGTGCACAAATAGACAGCAGTCAATCTGATTTAGCAGGGCACAGAATGGCTCCTGCTAGTTCATTACGGATACCTGCTACCAGTCATTAATGTGCATGGACAAAGTTCTGTGTCTGCACAAATCTCCTTTGTGGCAGCTCTAATACCTGCTCCCAGTTTTCATTTGGAGGCCTACTTGTGCCCATGACAAGCCCTTCCACATGACAGACCTCACACTCTGTTAAACATATCCAGCCTACAGCCTTGAGCACATCAGCGTGGCAGAAAGGAGAGCTGAATGCGTTTGTTCTGCCCGAGGCACTCACACCCCAGTAGGTGCTGGAAGAGCCCAGATGCTTCTAATGGATGAGTCAGTGATGGGAAGACATCCTCCAGCCAGGCCAACACAGAGCAGGACCACTGCAGCAGGCAGATATGCTGGGGTACTGCTCAAGAAGCCAACACAGCCCATCCAACTCATGGAAGCAACAGCATTGCTTATGATGCACCCTGATGCCACCAGAGTCCAAGAGGATCTGGGAACGGACCCTTCACCAGAAGAAAAACAGGCATTTTGAGGGTGTAAGCACCATTTAAAGAGAGAAGAAGCAGGTGCAAGGGCCCGCAGTGGGTTGGGGGAGTCTCATTAAGCACAGACTCGCTGGGGAGGAAGTGGCCAAGGCAGTCTGGAGACGAGCTCCTAGTGCTGCCACAGACTCTCTGTGTGATCTTGGGGAAGTCACCTACATCTCTTGGTTTCACACCTAGAAAATGAGGATGATAGCACTTCCCTACCTCGCCGGAGGGCAGTAAGACTGTCGTGCAGTAAAACCTATGAAACACAGATGCTGTGATGACAGCCCCTTAGGTAGACAGCTGTCCTTCCTCCGTCTTCACTGCTGCGCAATCCTTCAGGCTCTCGCTGCTTAGGCTCTGTGGAGTCACTGAGTTGTACTTCCCATCTCCTGCAGTTCAGAGGGGTAATGGCCGGTCAGTAACGAGCCGTCCTGGAGGAGGTTCAACATGACAGAGGCGTTGGTGTCAGCCAGTCTGGAGATGCCTCTCCCTTATGGACATGACTACATCACAGGGGAATGCAGGGCTCTCTTCCCATTACACCAGTGCTTCTCAGACTGTGGTGCACAGAGCGCTTGATGGTAACCTGCCCTGAGCCGGTTACCATCTGACTAAAGGAGGATGAGCAACTCATCCTCCTTTAGTCACTAGCTGCTTTTACAGGAGTCTGGACTCTTCATGGAGAAGAGGAGTCTGGAGACCTGTCCCAGCAGATGGAAACAAGGCACCGGGTAACATGTGCAGAGGGTCCACGGCACACAGGCAGCCACCTTTTTTTGTGTCTTTTTCTTCTGCTCTCCTCTCCAGGAACCACCTCCTGGTCAAGCCCTTCCTCCTTCCAGTGCCACCTAAAAACACACTCCTGCGGCTAAGGCCCTACACCTCTGCCCTGCCACTACTGGAGCGTTATCTGCAAAGCTCGGGGACATCCAGGCTCTGACTGCCTGTTTCCTTTGCTGACAGGTTCCCCGATCCTCCAAGCCCTAATTCACAGGGATAGTCTTTGCCCACATGGGCTGTCCCCCTGACATCACTGGTCAGGCTTGTATAATCTGGTTTAGTGAAAAGAGCTCCAATGAGCTAAAGGAGGGAGACTGTTAACCATGGCCTTGAACCTGGAGCCTCAAGTGGTTTCTTAGGTATCCTGGGCCTAGGTCAGGGAAGGTACCTTGAAGATAAAGAGTGAGACCTTGGACTTGATATGCTGTGGAAACCCAGAACAGGGACTGGAGGATGTGCTTGTGGCAGCCGGAGTTGCTACGAAGCACTGCAGCGTGTCTTCACTGTTGGTATCTGGAGTGTCTGAAGAGCTGAAGACCTTGTGTCCAGGTAGATGATATTGCAGTTGACTAGCTGAGAGGTGACAAGGCTGTGAGTAGCTGGGGCTTAGTTAATGTCCAACAGGATGGGACAGTCTCCTAGCTGACTGGAGATGGAAGAAAGCATGGCCCACAGATGTTAAGTGCAGAGCAGAGTTGTCTGAAGCCTTTGGAAAGACAAGTTGAGGGAGAAGTTCCTTTGTGCAGCATCTACGATGTCTCATGATCACACTGCAGGTTGTATGGGCCTGAGCCTCTACCACGAGTCAGTGGACATTTTGAAAGCTGCAGTGTGGCACTTGTAACTCCATATTTGCACATTAAATCAGCATGACTGTGACATGCTTGAAGATCTAAGTTATTTCAGCAACCAAATCTATTCATCTCCATCACATTGTGTTATCCTAACTTTTCTGAAATAGAGAAGCTCAGGCTAAGCCAGCTTGATGCTTGTGACTTTATGCAAACACAATGCATTGGATGTATAAGCTGAAGAGTGTGGAAGCTTTTCCATTATTCACCATATTAGCACGCACACTATCAGACTGCGCTCAGCTGCTTCGCAATCTGGCACTGACTTAGGAGTCCTGGCAGGACTATTTTTTGGAAACTGAGAGAGACAGACAGCGGCGTGCTTTACTGAGGACAAGGCCTTTCTCTAAATCAGTCAGCATGGTACTGCAGTTACCTCACTATGAAAACAGACCACGCAGAACACGACTTAGCAACGGGTTTGTTGTCAGCATATAGTGTACTAAGGATTAAGGCCAAATCTGGAGTGAATATCAACCAGCAGACCTCCACTGACATCACTTGACTGTCCTTCATATACATCACCTGCTGATTTGGCCAGCTGTAGTAATCTGCAGCAAGACTAGATCAGTGGTACTCAACACATCCAGCCACATAGGCCAGATGAGTGGCAGGGGGCTGGTTCGTAGGCTGGATTTGGTGCATGGGATTGGTCCACTGGTCTGATCCAGCATGGCGTAGGTCCATGGGTGTGATCTGGTGGGCAGGGCTGGCCCCATGCACCGGCTAGAACCCGCACTCTAGACCTGGCTGCGGACCAACTCCGTAGGCTGGCCCCATCCAGCGCATGAAGCCATGTCATCCAGCAATGGGCTGCCCATGGGTCTGAAAATGTGGTGGTGGGGGAGTGGTGGCAACGTTAGTTGCTGTTGCAATTGCCCAGGGCTTCAGTAATTAATGCTGCTACCTCTCCTCTGCCACTACATTCCCATACCCATGGAGAGCCCCATGGGCTAGATGACATGGCTTCATGTACCATGGTTGAGAACCAGTGCTCTAGAGAGCTGACTTCACAGTTCAACAATAAAGAACAGAGCAAGGGGCAGCTTGAACTGGTGTAGCAGCCTGCAGCACGTGTGAAACAGCTCAGCTAGGAACAGCCCGAGGAAAAGGGCAGTCCAGTCTATGGAGCAGTAGTGTAGCATCGTGGTAAGTCGGGAACAAGAAACTTGGTCCTGATTGTGCCACTGACCTGCCATGTGTCCTTGGGGAAGTCACGTCACTTCTCTTTCTCTCTTCCTGTTGTCTGACTGCCTATTTACATTTCCAGCAGTGCAGGCCGGGCTTGCCTCCCACTGTGTGTGAATATATTCAGCACTGGTTGTGAATATACTGTGCGGCCCTGGTCTCAGCTTGGGTTTCTAGGCCATGCAACAAATACTTATATGGAATACCAACCCAGCATGACCTCCAGCTTTGATCTGTCAGCATTCCCTTGGGGATGCTGCTCTGCTGAGAAGACTAAAAAGGCCAAACCAATTCCAGGTTAGACCGGAGATTAAATTGGCCCTAACAGCTTATTACCATGCCGTAATTCTAGGGGAGAACATCCAACCAGGCGGGCCTGATTCTGCTCCCATTCATACTAATGCAAATCAGAGACAAATCCTTGGAAGCCAATGGGGTAAATTCTTAGCTGTTGTTCTTAGCTAGATGCAATTGACTGAATGTGCAACAGTTGTGAATAAGAGAAGAAGGAGGAGCAGTGAGTAATTACTTTGCCTTGACTGCCACTGAGTTTTTTGTGATAGCTTGTGATCCTGAGGCAGAGAAACAGGTATTGATTCTCCTTCAATAGACTCACTCCTGATTTTTACTTTAGTTTTGGCAAAACTTGACTTCTGTACAAAATCATAAAAGTCAGAGAGGGGAAAGGTCTACTGGGATATCCACTGCATGTGTTGGCCCTACTGGAATATCCATTGCATCTATTGTGCCTGAGAGCACGTCCTACAAGGGTAGGTATCTAACACGGGCACCATTTCTTTAGCATCTATTGCCTCACAATCTCTAATACGTTTAGCCTTATGACACCCCATGAGTCAGGACAGTGTTGTCCTCCTCTTTTACTGATAGGGAAGACTACAGCCCAGATCCTCCATGGAGTTAGATGCCTACATACCTCTCACTATTTGGACCTACATAACTTTCCAGTGTCACACCGGAAGACTTAGGCAGAGATAGCAATTGTATCCAGACTGATGTCCTAACCTCTGAACTATTCTTCCTCCTATTGCATCTAGCAGCAGGGATGGCCTTTCCACAATGGACCTGTAGCCTGGGTTAGAAAAGGAAAGAGGAAGATTGCTCAGCACAACAGAAGCAAATGCACCCAACAGCACAATCCAAGTAATACTGTGTGCATGGGTGTAAGACTACAGACATTTGCATATGAGTTTGCCTAAGGCCAAGCGAATTGTTTTAGTGGAAATCCAAGCCCACACTGATCCTGTCACGTTTGGCTATGCAGGACAGAGAAAGATCGGATCAGCAAGGCCCTTTGGAGATGCCTTGCATTCTGATGCCGTGAGCCTGAGACACATGGATGCGCTATCGTATCAGGTACCACAGAAATGTGAGGAATTATTACAGAAGAGTTCTTCCAGCTGCATCAAATCTGTCTGCACGTGTGTGAAAATGCTCCCCAAAGGCCCATCAAGAGGAATCTGAGATTGGCTGAGTCCAGAGTTCATCTGGCTCTGTTCAAAATACTTCTTAATAGGAGAATGTGCCGTTACATTATCGGGCAGCTTTTGTTTATTTTATTTTTTCATCGCAGCCTTGGTGCCTTGGCTCGCTCTAGACAATAAAACTTAAGCTTCTATCAACTGCTATTATAGGTTGTTTGTTTGTTTTTTTTTTAATCCACAACAACAGTGTGATTATATCCAGGCTTCCTACATTAAGACAGACGTTGACCTAACTGTGGCAGTGCTACCACTTAATTCCTAATAAAAAAGATCTCTTTCTTCGATAGCTCACACCGAGTGAAATTCTTCCCCGAGGAGAGGACACACACTAGAACCTAGGCATCAATCGAGTCCCATTTTGGAGACTAAATATGACACAGGTCTTGTTGCACGAGGATATGTTCTACCTTGCAAGCTCATAAATGATGTTGAACTGAGAGCCCTGGATAGCAAAGACCTTGACTTATGAACACCTTGGGCACTGGCAGTCCCTGTGTTTCCCCTTGAATTTCTCCTACTTCCACTTAAGCTCTGACTCAGAAGAAGCATACTTGAGAGCTGACATGAGATGTGGGAGAAAGTGGTAGACATGAGTACAGAAATTTGATGCAGCTGTTAGTGTAAATGTAGTGCAGGTCTCAGGCTTTCTGATGGACCTACATAGGCTGGTGAGCAAGACTGTCCTAGGTGACCCCAATCGAGACACATACTTACTACGGCCAACAACCTATTCTTGGTAGCTCGTGGTGAGTCTCAGGCACTGCTGAGATGATCTGGATTTCAGCTGTTATCCCAACATTAGAAGACATGATGTTTTCTCTCTGATATCCAAAGTCACTCAATCCCACCCCTCCCTCCCAATGCTCTACAACATTATTCTCCAAACTACGTGCAAACAACTTGACTACAGCGCTCACCTGTTTACACAGCTCAAGGGCTTTTCAATTCTGCTAACAACAGGTGGTGTTTGTTTGTCTTCAGTCTGTTTAGCTGTCAGGCACCCTCACTGCTGTGTTTAAAGCAAGTGCTCATTATAAAGTCAATGCTGAGAGCCATGAGTCTGTGCTCACCTGTGATTATGCCCACCTCACCCAGCCTCTCCACAAAGCGATCTTCATAAAACTTCTGGAGAGCAAAATTAGCCACCACCTTACTACTGGCTGCAAGCGGACCAATACTGCGATTAGCATCCTTTTGTGTTACCAATCAATCTCACAGCTCTCTGAAAGAGGGGAGCGAATAGCTGTTTCCAGCTCAACCTACAGGCTACACTCTGGATGTACCCATGTTCCTCCTCTCCTTTCAGGATGCAGGGTAAGACATAAGACAGCTGGATCCAATTGCACTGAGGACAGAAGCCCTCCTCTTATCCACACACATCTATAATTGCACTGCTGCATCTCTCTCTCCACTTTGCATGTGGCATTGTCCCATCTCGGAGATCAAGCAAGGGTGAATGGGCTCCAGTCCCATCTCTTGCAATGAACCCAGAGAAAACTGGTATTGATAGGCAACTTCTTCCCCTTTCTGCCCCCACAGTCATGGTCTCTGGGATCTTCGCCAGCCTCTCATCAGCTTACAACCCTAGTTATCATCTCTAGGAAACTGTGGTCACAGGAGATGGCAGATTCATGTACCTTCAAAATATAGACAACTCCCACATCTGTGTTTCTCATCGGATGTTAAATGCATAATCCCTCATCAATCCCTGTGTCTGGGAGCCACCAGCACCTGGACTGGTGGATGAACTTGTGCTGGGGCAAGATGGAGGTGATGGTTGAGGGAGAGGGACCCGTGCCATCTAGAATTTACTCTCATCTCTTAGGATGGTTCACAGCTGGAGGAAGGCTCTTTCTGGACTGCTCATTTCCAGTGAGCTATGGATCCAAAAGCCATCCTCTCCCAACTACAACAGCACCCTCTCCTATCAGGATGGGGACACATGACACATTTGTCCCTGCCTAACACGCACCAATATATGGTTATTCCTATCACCACAGAGTGACTGGTGACTCATGCCAAGTAGGGCTGTACATCAGGTCTCTACTCCACCTTTTCACCAGTGTACAGGTGGATTACAGTGGTATAATGTATTGTGTGTCAGCTAAGATTCTCCCATGCATGTATACGAATTGGACTGGATCGCTGAAATCCATTCACCGAGATATGAAAGCATTGACCCTGATAATGTTTCCCCCTGATGCAGAATGAAGCATCCCACCCGCTGACCAGCACAGGTTTTGCAAAGCTCATCATCTTGGTGCCTTGCGCAGACTCCCGGTAGAACGCAAAATCAAACGATGAAGTTGATGCCCAGAATCAAACCACCTCAG